TGTATTTTTGGTGTGTGTGTGTGTGTGTGTGTGTGTGTGTGTGTGTGTGTGTGTGTGTGTGTGTGTGTGTGTGTGTGTGTGTGTGTGTGTGTGTCCCCTTTAATGTCCACTTGAGCTAGCTGCCAAAGCAAGTTAATTCCAATAGATTGCCCTTTACTACATTTATTACTGATAAAGCTTAAAGGGGCATTGCCACACTGATTGTAGCTGCCTGCTCAGCCTCACCTCTGCTAATTCAAGTTATAGAACTATACTTCTCAACTGCATTGGTGCCTTTTGGAGCACAAATATATTCATCTGACAAATAACGTGGCTTAAAAATAATGTATTTATGTTTAAACCCTACAGTCAAGCCCCCTTGAATTACCAGAAAACTTAGTCTGTGGCTTTCTTATCCAAATAGGGTACAGACTGTAAAAAGAAGAAGAAGTATGGTAGGAGCCCAAATGCTAACATGATCAAAGTGCTTTGAGATATTTTCTTTAATGATACCATACATTTCTGTTCTAGTCACATCTTGGAGTCTATGTTACCCAGATTGTTTCTCATCCTCCATTGATTAAGTAGGATTTGTTGTGCTGATAGTGACTTATGTATCTTGGAGTTTGTAGCCTGCAGCAGAGATAAGAAGCACTAGCCTACCATGGTCAGAGGTTGTTTCTACCCAAATGACACTGACTAAAAGAACATAATTTAAGTGACATTGTTTAGACTTCACAGTTTCCTGTGGTGGAACTAAATGTTGTATACAAGTTCTTTTGCACACAGACAGTATGCAGAGTAGGACAGGGCATTTATACTTCACGGGGTGAAGTTGGGGTGCCTTTTCAGAGCATGACTGAATGCACCCATTTCTGAACAGCAGTTCTTGCAACAGACAGCATGAAGAATGCACTTCAAAAGACATTCCTGGAATTAAGAATTGAACCCAGCTGAGCTGACACAGTCTGTGTAGTTTATCTTATACCTGAATCCTCATGGCAGTTACGTTGGCACGATCTGTCTCTTTAGTCTTAGAACTGCTTTGTTCTCCAGGGGACATGATACTGTGGTGACATTAATCTATGTGGAAGATTGTAAAAGTCAAATCCAGCAGTCAGTTTTAGCCAGACAGGCAATGACCACTTGATGTGCAGATATGAAGGCAAATGTAATCGGCCGACTTTCATACACTGCATGAGCCATGTTTTAATCAACAGTTTTCCTTATGCTCTATTTAATGTTCTGCTTAATAAAATTAATAAACTAGTCAAACCTTATTATCTAAAGTCATATTATGAAGAAATTTAAGTTATACCATTAATACCAGTTTGTCCCAGTCTATCAGCATCTGGCCAGGTGTGGAGTTCATCTGTGTTTTCTCTATTCTTTAAGGTGGAGAGCTGGGCAGGTCCATGTTCCACCCTTGGTACAAGCTGCACTTTCTGGGCTTGACTTTCACACATGCTGTGTACATATATACATTGTGGCTGTATATCTTCCATTCTCTCACAGTTGGTTTGTCCACAGTGGTGGTAACTTGGCTCTCTCAAGTCTAGAGTTTTTTTGTGCTTTCTCTTGTAACCCAGTCTCCCAGTTCCTTGCCTGAAGTCTGATTCCCACCCTTTAGAAAATCAACCTGTGTTCTCTTAAGGATTCAAGAGTTCACAACTAGAAATACACTTTCATCACTCTCACAGTCCAACACTCCCTGTGGATTCAAGGCTCTACCTGCCACATAACGCCCCTGCCTGCTCTCCATTGTTCACCTGCACCACAAGTAAGAACACAGTTTGCCAACTCTCTCAGCTGTTGCAATTCTCTGAATCAGTCCAGCCACGTCTAACAGTTGCCCCTTCTCCACAAACACCACCTGAGTTCACCTGTAGTGCCCTTCTCTCTTTTTCTTACCACTTGTAAATAAACCTTGAAACACTCAGTTGTGATCACTGTCTCCTCCAAGCTGAAAGTTAACTCTGACAGTCATTAATGTCCACATAACCTTTGCGTCAGTGGTGGAATCCACAAACATCCATTTGGTAACACTCCCAAAAAGCTGATTCTGTTCATCTGGACGTAGCGTTTAGATGTCTATTCACACCTACAGGCCAGTGGACACTCTTTCAATAATGAGGATGTACACATCCTGGAGAGGGAGGAACGCTGGCGGGGAATCAAGAAAAGGGAAAGACCATCTCTGAATCGAGGAGGGGGCATGAGAGTGTATCTTTCACCATCTTACAATGCTGTGATTGCAGCCATTCCCCAACTCTCTGTGAATGGTACTCATGGCCATTGATCAAAGACCATTGATCAATGATCAGTGGTCAACGGTCACTCACATCACTCACTTGGATGAGTGACGAAACGTTTCTCCCAGATGAACAAAAACAACTTTTGGGATTTCCATGATTGAGCATGCATCAAGACATTTGGTAACAGTGTTGGTAAATTTTGTATTTTGCAATTCAGTTATTTGTTTTTACCACTCTGTTGCATCTTGGATAGCTAGTTTGAACAGTCATGTTGTCAGGATCCGGAGTTTATGTTATTATTATTCTGTGGTTTTGGTTATTTTGGGGTTCTTGTACATTCCCTGTTCACGTTTTATGTTCCTATGTTCTGTGTTCCCCAGTCTGTGTGAAGTCTGTGTGTTGTGTCATTGCGTGTATGTTCCCTGTTTTATTGTGAAGGTCTGCGTCTTATGTGAGTGTTTTCAGTTTGCCTCCCTTGTCTCGTCACGTTAATCACTCCCAGCTGTACTTCTCTCTCTCTCTCTCTCTCTCTCTCTCTCTCTCTCTCGAAAACCAATAAACTTTTTTTTTTTTTTAAATGCCTATTTGTCTCTGTTCTATCAGCTTGGACACTCACACCAGTTCCTTTTTAAGCCAGCCGTAAGTTTGAGTTCAAATATGAACCTGTTAAATTTGGTGACTGTATTTTTGCACAGCTGTCATATCTCTGTATAAGTACTGGAGTAGTTCCCACAGGGACCATGATCTGCAATGATCACTCACACACAAGATGAAAACTACCAGCTCTGTTATTATGGCCACTACCAAAATACAACCTTTATATTGGCTACATTTCATTCCTCTAGTAGGTGCAGTAGATAAAACTGGGAAAGAGAACATTAAAACCTTAAACCCAGTTTAGGTAGCTTGGATGTGTCAACACACTGAATATTCTTTATTAAGTCTAGACTGGTAGTCATTCCTTTTGACAATGACATTTTCATCAGTGGGGTGAAATTCTGGCATAAAAATTGGCTTAGCTGGTTTTGGTGGTAAACTAAGGGAAGTGGGATCAGAGATGTCATATAAGGAGAATCTACGAAACTCATAGAACCCCAAGTCAAAATCTAGTGGAGAGTTCTGTAGTACAAGTCTAGTGGTAAGTATTATTTCTAGAGAAAAAGAAAAGGAGTTTAAAACCATTGTTTTGTGGTAAACAGCAAATCCTTAAGTCACTTTTAATCAGATGTGACTGGTGATTATAGTCAAGCATTTCTGTCCTGGTGTCCTTTGAACTATCAAAATAAGTGGTCATGTTTAAAATGATTGCTTTTGCTTCTATCAGGAGGGGAAGTCTTCTTCAATAGATTAAACGGGTCTGGAACATTAATGGAGATCTTCATTTTCTGTTAATTGATATATGAGTTAATTTTCAGATTTTGAATGAAACCACGAGAAACATCACACTCTCGAGAGCCTCGATCTGCTGGGTTGGCAATCTAGCTTTGTTTGTAGGAAAGTTCCTGGGCAGAGCTGGTTACAGCAGAGAGCTGCAAATGTCTTTCTTCGCTGTAAGAAATGTTTACATCTTGTGCCCTTTATTAATGTCAGCACTTATTTGATTAGTGATGCGTGTGTGCTTTTGGCTGTAGAGAGAGAGAGCAGAGAGACGAGGGAGCGAGGAGAGGAAGTGAATATCCAAAACCACAGTCATGAGGTTGTCAGTGTGTGCAGCGGTGTTGGAGCACTGATTTGTCCATCAGCGTACACTTGGGGTGTAAGGGTTTCTTTGTGTTCTGGCGAGTTTTCTTCGTGCAGCATGTCAGAAGCTGCACGAGTGTCTTTCTGTATTTCTTCTGGATCTCTGCTGATGTTCAGAAAGCTTCCTCATCAGCTCGGTGAAAGTTACTGCTGTCACGCATCGTTTTGAAGCGTTTTTATTTTAGTTTAATTGTGTTATTTTTGCTCGAACATCCTGGTCTGGATGCGCAGCAGAGCGGATACGAGGAGCCCGAGAAGCGCTGAAATGATGCGCATCCGTGGCCGAAGCGTTTCGCTCTGTGAGCTCGGCCGTCCGCTCTCTACACACTGAGAAAAGCGGAGAAGAGGTAGCCTTTTCCCGTTAGCCGAATCACGCTTCACCGCTGACTGAGTGACTGATCAGAGCTAAGGAAAACGGAAGGAGGAGTGGGGCGTGTGGATGTGAGACTAAAACAAAAAGAGAGAGAAAAAAAAGCAGGATCTGGATGGAGAAGGGAACGGACACTGTATGCGGGCACAATTGTTCCCGAGATTTTCAATAGAATAGAAATTTATTTTCATCCTTTGTACTTGCGGATTAAGAAGTTAGTTCGAGAAAAGAAGAAATAGCAGGTTGGCGCGCTGTTGTGTACGGTGGGTGAGGAGGGTTTGGGGGGTGGGAAAGAAAAATGCTGCCTTCGCAAGAAGCCTCCAAAATCTACCATGACAACTATATGCGCAACTCCAGGGCCATCGGGGTCCTGTGGGCCATATTCACCATCTGCTTGGCCATCATTAACGTGGTGGTGTTCTTCCAGCCTTATTGGATTGGCGACAGCGTCAACACACCTCAAGCCGGCTACTTCGGTTTGTTCCACTACTGCGTGGGTAACGGAAACTCCGACCGGGAATTCTCGTGCCAGGGCAGCTTCTCCGAATTCGGCTCCATCCCGTCAGGAGCCTTTAAGGCGGCCTCATTCTTCGTGCTGATGTCCATGGTGCTCATCATCACCTGCATCGGCAGCTTCGCCCTCTTCTTCTTCTGCAACACTGCCACGGTCTACAAGATCTGCGCCTGGATGCAGCTGCTATGCGGTATGGATGGAAGACACTTCGGTGTGTTTTGAGGTAGAGGGGGAATTTGAGTCTTCCCAGGCTTTTTGGCGTGGGGTAGGGGCAGCTTGAGGAGAACGGGGTCCTCTTGTGTTACCCACACTTTGTGTCGTTGTCAAAAAGTGTCACCAGGTCCTCAACAGAATGAGAGCAGCAGGATGAACGCTTGGGGGAGGTCACATAGAATAGAGATCATCCCTTCAGAGTTAAAATAATTTCTTTATCTTAGCCTTTGGCTATTATTGGGTCTTTCCCCAAGAACCCTATCATCCTGTTTTATATAAGGCTTGTTAAAATAATGTGTCAGTGTAATTATATGGAATTATGATAATGAAATGCCTTCAGCAGCATTGAATCAAAGATCACAGCTTCTATGTTGGTTATATCTACAAGATTAGCCAACATTATGTGTGATCTACAAATCATGCATTTCAATAATATATCTTCACTACATTCATTCATTCATTCATTCATTCATTCATTCATTCATATATACAAAACCAGAACAAACATACAGCTGACTTGAGAGGGTTACACGGAGTCTTTCCATCAGTGCTGAGTGCAGTGCAAAGTGTTTTTTCTTCTTCACATTAAGCTGATGAAGCTTTTCAGTTTTGTCAGGCTGATCATTTTTTCTGTGACCTCCAGGATTGGAAAATGAAGCAGAGGGCCAAAAACTACAGTTCTTCTAATTGGCACTTGAAGCTGCCTCCAAAAGCGATTGTGTGCGTATTGACTCCTATTTTTAAAAATGCTTTAAAAACCATTTTTGCAGCCTGGTTTTAAAAGCACAGTTTAGGACTCGATGGATAATATTCACTTTCCTAATTTCCTAATAATTTTCATCTATTTAAATACTGGAGTTAAGGTCATGGCTGCTTTGATTGATATATGCTTTATTAATTAATTAATGGTGTGTGGTTCAGATCATCCTAGAAGTTTGTGCTTCAGGTTTTGTGAATAAAATTCTAGTATAGAAGTATCAGCTGTTTAAAGATCCTAGCTTTATATGATAAAGTTAGAACCCCACTCCTTCATCCAAATATGTTCAATTCTGGTCCCAAACAAAAAAACATGATAGTGGCCAATACTCGAGCGCTGAGGCTCCAAATGGAAAGTATGACATTTATATACAGCCTATGATCTGGCTTGGAGTGGTGCTTTGTTGAGTCACAGCATTGCTGTATGTGAAACACTTGATACCAAGTCTGGCCTAAATTTGATCTGCAGTTTGTTATGGGCCACATTTGGCTTTGGCCATTGACGTTGGCTGATTGACTTCCTCTCATGTCCACCAGATGCTGGGTGTGTTGTGGCATTTTAGCCAAATGTGGCCCAGACAACAATAATCTCTCTTGAGCCTTGCTCATGACTATTTAGCCATACTTAGCCCATTCAACATTCACTAAACTATAACCAAGTGTCAACTTCCAAAAGGAGCCAGATTAGACCCAGAGGTATCTCGGTTACAACTCTTTGTGTGAGCTTTAAAAGGCTCTCCCATCACAGATTGTTGAACAGATTGTGTCACTTCAGGTGGCGTCTACAAGTGTGTCCCACATGCTCAGTAACATCAAGAATCCCCTAGAAGATTCCTAATCATAAAAAACACTAATTAACTAGACGTGATGCACCTGAAACTGGTCTCAAATGGGTTTAAAAATTCAGTGAGTGTTGATAGCGGTGATAGTTGTGTTGAAGGTCTGGCTTTTGTTGATACTCTTGTTGCATGATTGCATCATTATTTCAGAACTCCTCACCTTAGTTTTTAAAAGTCTGAATTTCTATGCATGTGTGTGTTTTTTATGAAAACATGGAGTCTAGTGTGGTGTGTGTGTTTGGGGAAGAGTATGTTTGTGAATTGGTCTGGAAGCACTGACATTAACTGGGAGGAGATATTGCTGGCTCAGTTATTCATCCTATTTGGGAGCTGGAGCCAGGGCTATATATTGCAATGGACTTGGGACCTTTTGTAAGCATAGACTGTTTTCCAGCACTACCTGGATCCACAAAAAAGCAGGATAAAACTATGGAAACAGTTTCTTCTTGGAAACGAAATATTCACACAGCTTCAAAGACATTTCTGTTGGTGCCGTTTAAACAGTGTGACTTTGAAGAGCTTGCTTAGCCATAAGAAATGATATATCCTGCTCATGATAATTTATTAACTGCAACATATACTAAAGGTCCACCGTGGTAAAGGACATACTCATCTTTGTCAATAGTCACTGTATTTGTGTTGATGCAGCAGTCAGCCCTGTTGCCTTGTAGCCCCCACCCACACTTCACCACCTCATTTCCTCTCATCTTTTTTTTCATTGCTGATTGGTTCCTAAGTTTCTTTGCTCCTTGTGCCAAGTTGGCACACATTACATAAGGACTGCACACTCTCACTCATGGAGCGGCAGATAAGGTGAGTTTGGTTTGTTCTTCTTTTTAATTTATTACGACTTTTCTTTAAGTTAATGACTTAGTCTGACCTCATTTTCTCTTTTGACTTACATGGACTTCGGCACATTGCTTTTCTTCATTAATTCCTTAAAGTTAACCACAAAGAAAACGAGGACAACATCACACCAGTGAACCCAAATCATCACCAGTACCCCAATCTGACTAAATGTGGTCATTACTACAAGAGCTGGATGTTACACTGGAAAGTCAGATCTTCTGTTTAAAAGAAATTAGTTCATGCTGAATTATTTATCCTAGTGGCTATATACATCTTGTTTGTTGTGTCCTTATTTTACAACCCCAGTTCCAAAAATGTGTTGGGATATTTAGTAAAATAACAACAGAATGCAGTGATTTGCAAATAATCAAGTCATAAACCCCAATTTTTTTTTCCTGACACAGAAAGGTCTTCTATTTAATAAGTTAATTTTTTTTATCATTTTAAGAAAAACATTACCTTGTTTTGAATTTAATGGTAGCAAAAGGTCTCAAAAAACATGGGACGGGACAACAAAAGTGTGTAAAACGGGTACAGCTGGAGGAAGATATTGCAGATAATTGTTTTATTTAAAAAGCATTTTAGAGATGCAGTGTTTCTCACAAGTACACGGAGCAAAAGTTCTGCAAAAAAGAGAAATGCATAAACAAATTGTGGTACAATTTGAGAATAATGTTCAGTATGAAATTGTAAACAACAGGCATGATTCTGACAATTGTATGTGAACACAGCTCACCATTTCATCCACAAATGCAGGTTAAAGCTCTATCATGCAAGAAGAAGCTATACGTGAACAAAACATCCAGGAATGCTACCATCGTCTCTGGCCCACAGTGTTTAAAATAAACGGAGGAAAAGTAGGAAAACGACTCTGTAGTCAGACAAATCGAAATTTGAATTTTATATAATTTGTATATAGAGGCCTTCATATTTCAGCAAGACAATGCTGAACTGGCCTGCCTGAAATTCAAACCTTTCACTAAGTGAAAACAAGTTTGTGGATGATGAAGTAAAAAATAAAACACTTTTTTTGAGACCTGTTGCTTCCATCAAATTAAAAAAATATCTATTGCATTTTATCTTTTTTGACATATATTCTCCATGTTTTAGTATGACCAAAATATAAATTCATTGCATTTTATTTATTTGCATTTTACAAAGCATTCAAACTTATTGTTGTTTGTTCCATCTCTTCTAACCTTTGCTAGTGGAAGAGGTTTCTTTCCTCTTGCTTTCAGAAAATGAAGGGCATATTCCTATGTGTCTGTGATATCCTGATGGGACTGGAGTTGAGCCGAAGACTCTGGGGCAGCGTGCAGATAATGGTTTAATTAGCTCTGCGGTGCAGCTCTGCAATAGGGCTTTAGTTGGCTGTGGACAGTGCAGAGCTGTGGCAGCCCAGAGAGGCTGGTCCTGCTCAAAATGCTTCACAGCACAAAAAGACCACACCAACAAAGAGGAGATGGGGAGACCTGTCATAAGTTGTCGGGTGTAGCAAGTGCGAGGACCCAAAGGCAAAGAGCCAGATTGAAAGCAAATCATTTGTTTTAGGGTGATGAAAAAACTATTAATGTAAAGGTCCAATAAGGGAAACAGCTGAAACTAATTTTACTCCACACAGTGACAAGACTCTAATGCATTTAAACTTAAAGACACAAGGGTGGAGGCCTTAACTGGAATACAAATGTACATAACGAAGGACTTAAAGCCACAAGATACAAAGGAATATGAAATATACACAACAAACAAGGTAGGAACCAAATTGAACATCCAGTAAAAAGAATATAAACTTCAAAACTCTGACTCTAGGACATTGGACCATGACAATCTTTCCATCAGTAGGTAAAACAGGAGTTGCTTTGGTCCTGTATGTATTCAGAGAGTTTTACTAAAATCTACAAATGGTAAAAGAGCGTTCTAGATCACAAAAGAAGTTCCTGTATATTCAGAAAAATGCTGTTTCCTGGAAGCATTACCATCGGACTGCTTCCTTGAGGGCTAATTGACTGTTATTTATGTACATCATAAATATATTTTGGCCCTGAGCCATCAAGTTATTCATAAACTAACAGCAGCACTCAAAAACTGCTCTAGGACTGACTGGAAGCCAGTGAAAATGTGTAAGTGCACTAATGGGGCGATCGTGGCTCAAGAGTTGGCAGTTCGCCTTGTAATCGGAAGGTTGCCCCGGTCGAGCCCCGGCTCCGACAGTCTCTGTCGTTGTGTCCTTGGGCGAGATACTTCACCCGTTGCCTACTGGTGGTGGTCAGAGGGCCCGGTGGCGCCAGTGTCCGGCAGCCTCGCCTCTCAGTGCGCCCCAGGGTGGCTGTGGCTACAATGTAGCTGCCATCACCAGTGTGTGAATGGGTGGATGATTGTGTATAGTGTAAAGAGCTTTGGGGTCCTTAGGACCAAGTAAAGCGCTATACAAATACAGGCCATTTAATGCACTCAGCTCTCTTGGTGCTGAGTGCATTAGTGTTGGTGAAAATGCTGAGTACCTTTTTAGAAGGCACATGATAAATTCCTGTAT